GTGTGTAGTATTTATAGTATAAAGTGTGTAGTATTTACAGTATAAAGTGTGTAGTATTTATAGTATAAAGTGTGCAGTATTTATAGTATAAAGTGTGTAGTATTTATAGTAATAATGTGTGTAATATTTATAGTATAAAGTATGTAGTATTTATAGTAATAAAGTGTGTAGTATTTATAGTAATAAAGTGTGTAGTATTTATAGTATAAAGTGTGTAGTATTCATAGTAATAAAGTGTGTAGTATTTATAGTAATAAAGTGTGTGGTATTTATAGTATAAAGTGTGTAGTATTTACAGTAATAAAGTGTGTATTATATAAAGTCCAGTACGTGACTCACATCAGGTTTCTTGTCGACTTCATGTTGCAGCAGTTCGATGTAGTCCAGTCCACCGTCTGTCATCACCAACTGATACCACAACCAGAACTAAGACCCGGTCTACTGTCAGAACCTCTAATCCTGCACCTGTAGACCCACTGGTCYATGACTCCACCCACTGGCTTGGTTCTGACTGGTCCTGGATCCCCTGAGGTGGACAGCATCAGGTACACACCTTGATGAAACCAGACCCTGGATCTGATACATGATCAGTTCCTGTGAAGCCGCTGCTGAAAACTGACCCGGGTGTGGTCCAGGATCAGGATTAGAACCAGGACCAGCAGGGGGCAGACTGAGTCCTCACTGATCCTGGATCAGATTATTAAAACCATACTCTRATAATCAACTGGAGAAGTCCTGAACCAGAATGTTTTGGATCAGTGAGGAGACACAAGAAGACCAGGACCTGGGTTTGAGAGGAGTCCAGGTCCTGGAGCCACAAGTGGTCCTAGAATTTTCTTTTTAGTCCAAAAAACGGTTATCAGAACCAAAAGATTTAAATACTTACAATGTTTGGGTTTGACTCCAGCCTGAAGAAACAAGAAGATTCTCATCAGACAGAGGACAATCAATCAATCAATCAATCAATCAATCAATCAATCAATCAATCAATCAATCAATCAATCAATCAATCAATCAATCAATCAATCAGATGGTCAGTCTTGATTAGATCTTGGAAACTTTCCTTTGCTGCTGCAGGTGGGACAACTGGTCCAGGATTTGCTGAATCTCCGCCTCCATTGTGAAGCTCCGCCTCTACCTGAACACAGACCCAGGATGATGTCACGTTGAATTCCTGTAGGTTTCTGGCTCCGCCCACAAAACCATATTAACATTAACTGATCAGAAGAGACCGGGCCCACAGTTCCCTCGGCAGGGAGAGTGATTTGCACGTGAGTTCAGAGCAACTCTGCAGTTTAAAAACGTGACACAAATGTTAACAATCATGGCTTCGACTATGATGATATAAGATCTGACTATAACCAGATCTTTGGCTTCAGATTTGTTTCTGTTTGTTTGATGCCAAAATGTTAAAAACTGACTGAACTGATGAAACCAGTACAACTGGTTTCCATTAAAAAGTGTGAAAAAGTGTAAAAATCTGAGCTGTTGTGCTTTTCCCTCCACAGTTCAATCAATGTTCCCCAAACTGCACCGAAACGTTTTAGCTTCCTGTGACTGAGGCCTTCTCTTTCAGAGGGGCAGCTTCATCAGCCTGCGTAGGCCATGAGGTTGTAGGAGGTAAAACTTTGTTGCTTTGCTCTGTGAGACGCAAAAACAAAACAGAGATTATTTATATTTAGTTACAACATTCACAGATTAACTGTAAAGAAATGAAATCATAAAAATAAATGAAAGAAAGAAACACCATCAGTGTGTCCAAAACTCTTTAAATTAGAGACACTTACTGATTCAGTTCATCTTCATCACCATCATCATCATCATCATCATCATCATCATCATCATTATTATCATCACTGCCATCTTCATCATCATCTTCTTCTTCTTCATCATCATTATTATCATCACCGCCATCATCATCATCATCATCATCCCGCCATCATCATCATCATCATCATCACCATCATCATCATCATCATCATCATCCTTATTATCATCACCGCCATCATCATCATCATCATCCCGCCATCATCATCACCATCATCACCATCATCACCATCATCATGATCATCATCATCATCATCATTATTATCATCACTGCCATCATCATCATCATCTTCTTCTTCATCATCATCATTATCATCATCACCATCATCATCATCATCATCCCGCCATCATCATCATCATCATCATCACCATCATCACCATCATCATGATCATCATCATCATCATCATTATTATCATCACTGCCATCATCATCATCATCTTCTTCTTCATCATCATCATTATCATCATCACCATCATCATAATCAAAATCATCATGATTATCATCATCTCTGCCATCATCATCATCATCATCATCATCATCACAACCACCGTCATCATCATGATCACATCATCATCATCATCCTGATCATCATCATAATCTCCATCATCATCATCATCATCATCATCATCATCATCATAATTATCATCATCACCGCCATCATCATCATCACAACTGCAGTCATCATCATTATAATCATCATCATCACAATCACCATAATCGTCATCATCATCAACAACCTGATCATCATCATCATCATCATCACCAGTATCAACCTCATCATCATAATTATCCTTCATCATCATCATCATCAGATGAGATCAATAATCTGAGGGATGGTTCTGTTACCTTCAATTGATCATCTCCTCTTCATCACCTGAGCTCTGCTACTTCCTCTCACCTGTCCTGTCGTCACCATGACAACYACTGATCCCCTCCTGTCAATCATCAGTTTCACAGGTGTGTTTCAGGTGTTTAGCTTCAGACTTCAGGGTTTTACCTTGTAAGGCTCAGTGGTTCTGGTCAGTCCAGAATCTAACRGACCTTGTCTTTGTGTCTCAGGTCTGAGGGGGTCCAGCTCAGTCTCAGYCTGCAGTGAAACCCTCCCCTTTAATTGGACCTTCTATTGAACCAGACACAATTACAGCGGCCCCCTGCAGGACCACGTGGTCCAGATCCTCAYAGGAGGATCCAGGTCCAGTCAGAGACCATTGTTTGATTCTGGGGTTCTGTCAGCATCTAAAGACGAACAGAAAGGTTCTGTGTCACYGCAGGGGATGGACCAGAACCACAGGGTCCAGTTCCTCTGCTGCACAGGTTCACAGATCAAGAACTGAATCTGTTCAGAACTTTCAGTGACCCGGTTCTGTCAGACCTGATCCTGATTCTGTCAGACCTGATCCTGGTTCTGACAGACCTGATCCTTGTTCTGTCAGACCTGATCCTTGTTCTGATAGACCTTGATCCTGGTTCTGTCAGACCTGATCCTTGTTCTGTCAGACCTGATCCTTGTTCTGATAGACCTTGATCCTGGTTCTGTCAGACCTGATCCTTGTTCTGTCAGACCTGATCCTGGTTCTGTCAGACCTGATCCTGGTTCTGTCAGACCTGATCCTGGTTCTGTCAGACCTGATCCTTGTTCTGTCAGACCTGATCCTGGTTCTGACAGACCTGATCCTGGTTCTGTCAGACCTGATCCTTGTTCTTATAGACCTGATCCTTGTTCTGATAGACCTGATCCTGGTTCTGTCAGACCTGATCCTGGTTCTGTCAGACCTGATCCTGGTTCTGTAAGACCAGATCCTAGTTCTGTCAGACCTGATCCTTGTTCTGACAGACCTGATCCTGGTTCTGTCAGACCTTGATCCTGGTTCTGTCAGACCTGATCCTTGTTC